AAAACATCTTGTGCAAAATATTGAGAGTTAGAAAAAGAATTCTTGCTTGCTACATACATCCAGTTTTAACATATGGCTGTGAATCCTGGACAATCGGTAGGCAGACCAAACAATTTCTGGAGGCCTCGGAGATGTGGTTTTACAGAAGAGTGCTTAGAATACCTTGGACAGCCAAAAAGAGCAACCAAGAGGTTTTGAAAGAGACGGGAGCCCGAAGACAACTTATCACAGACATCAGAAGGAGACAGTCATCATTTTTCGGCCATGTTATGAGAAGAGGGAAAATAGAACATGTTGTGACCACTGGAAAGATCTGGGGAAAAAGGGATAGAGGAAGACAACGAGAGAAGATACTTGACAGTCTTGTTGCATGGCATAGAGGTGTGTCGGCACACGAACTGATACATGCTGCAGGATATCGCAGATTATGGAAAGCATGATCGCCCACGCCAGTCGGCAAGGCACCTGATGATGATGATATATAATTGTGTGTGTGTGTGTGTGTGTATGCTGTCTTTGTTCGCTGATGAAGGCTAAATGCCGCAAAGCCCTTTATTTGTTATTGTAACTGATTATGTAAAGCTGACATAAACATTTTTTTCCTTACCCCTTTTCTTCTCTTTCTTATAATTTCCTACCATTTTTTTAAAGACTTCCGAGCACAACTATTCAACTGTTCTGGTTGGTAGATACGATTTTTTTTTAACAATATCATGTTCAACCCTTAGGGTTATAAATGGGAGAAATAGTTTTAGTTGATTTCTCAGAGTATATATTTGTTGTTTTCTATTTATATGTCGCGTAACTATTTAAATGACCGTTATGTAATGTGTATTGTTTCACATTATGGTTTGGATTATGATTATAAATAGAAACTGTACTAGTACTATGAATAGTTATACAATCTTACCCACAGCGTGTCATTCTTCTTCGATACTTCTGTCAGAAAAGTTATGTCAGGAAACCTGGAGCCTTTATAAAAGCTATCGTGCAGTCTTATGTACCACACAGTATTGTCTTCATTGAGGTTGGAACAGGTCAGATTGCGTCTCTGTTGGCAGCATACAGTTGATAGGCATGGTTGGAGCACATGCTCAGCGATTTCTGCTGCCAGACTACAGGGACACGACTCCATGTTTCCTACACCGACAACTCTGAGCATATATTGACGAAGTTTGTAATTAACATGTTGGATTTATTATTTCCGTAGGGCATTCTGTGCCCATCTGTATGTGGATTTTAGTTCTACTATAGCTTGCCAGGCAGGTGTCTGGGGCTGTTTATCTGCAATAAGTTTTCAATCTTCATAGGTATTTTACAGAGATTCATGCAGTCAGTTAATGGTTTTCTTTGATTTTCATATTTCCTACACTCCAGCAAATAGGGGTCTATTTTACTGATTTTCTAGCATAGATTACAGGTCTCTTCTTGTCTAGTAAAACAGTCTCATCCAAGTTGTAGTCTAATCCATTTCCGATTTCATGGTATTTTTCAATCATCTGTTATCTGAATATCTTTTAGGAGCATTTAACAATTTATATGGATGTCTACCCTTTAGGCTTTGGTCCCAGTTTAGGACCATTCCTCTAAAATACATTTGTTAATTAGTGATTTGATGTCTCTTGTGCTCATATGTGCCCACACTAATTAAATTATATTAGCTGTATTTTTATTGGATCTACCCTTTTTTTTTTTTTGGCTTCCATATCAGCAGTTTTATTACCATGTATTCCCACATGAGCAGGTATCCATACAACTAGCAATGAGCATCCTCTTGTGTTTAGGTAAGCCTGTGTAGTAGCCAGTGATGTCTCTTCTATCAAGTCTGGTCTGTTAGATATTTTTTTTTAGCCTAAACAGTTGATAGTGAGTCAGTTAAAACTGGCTCATGTTTGGAAGGGTTGTCATGTACCATTTCAAGAGCTTTGAGTACAGCAATCATTTCTGCAGTGAAAATTAGTAGATCATCAGATATGTTAAAGCTTCTCTTGAGTTTTCATTGTGGAATGTATAACCCTATAATCTTTTCCTTGTTATCTTTTCCTTTGAACCCATCTGTGTAAATTGGGAATCTATCCTTTATTTGATGCTGTATGTGTCAACTCAGGGCATGATTCATTATTGGTAACACTAGCAAGTTTGTCGTCTGTCTCAGGGAGGTCGAAGTGCCATACAGGGAGCTTAGAGCTACTGATTTGATCATGACTGAAGAGTTTGTTCAAGGATGCAGAATCACTCAGATATGTTAATCATTAAATAGTTGTGGACATTTGTTTAATCTCAAATTGGATATCTCTGTTTGTGCTTCAAGAAATGACTTATGTGCTGGGTGGCTTGTGTCATTGATTAGCTCTGACAGAGCAATTTAGACTTAATTCCTTTCTTCTAAGGTGTAAAGACAAAATTTCCATTGTCACTTCTACAGCCTCCTTTGGTGTTGTTCTGGGAGTTCCTGCTATGATGCATAGTGCCTGATGCTTAATTGTATCCAAATTGTATTTTATTTTGCTGCGGAATCATACAGAATGCAACCATAGTTAATCCTTCCTCTAATATATGATTTGTAGAACATAAGCATTAGTTAAGAGCTAGCACCCCATCCATTTCCCTTGAGATATCTCAGCATATTTAGAGGTCCTCAGCAAGTCTTGGCCAGGAGATCTATATGTTTCTTCCAGTTCAGTTGTTGGTGCAATGTCATGCCTAAAAACTTGTTTACTGTTTGAATATTGTGTACGTTCATTTTGATATCTATGAGGTTATCATTTATTTTTCTACTTTTACTAAACATCAGTCCAAATGGTTTTGATACATTTAGGTTGAAACCCCATTTTGTGATCCAATTTGAAACATTGTTAAATTGATTCTGCAACTCACTAAAAGTGCTAGGGAGATCTTTCCGGGTTCCCTGTTCTCCAAACAACGACATCATCAGCGTATTGTGATAGGTTATTCTCTAATTTTGAGAACTCTTCACCGAGGTCAATGATCATTATTGCGAAGATCGTTGGGGACAGAACCAAATCTTTAGGGGTGCCATTTTGTTGTTCATAAATTTGTGAGTATTTGTTATTTACATTCTTTTTAAAGAATCTCCCTTGAAGAAAATTTTTTGTGTATTTATATAGTTTTCCAGATCTTTCATCTCTTGAATTTTCTATTAAGTATCCCTCCTTGCTACACACATCCTAAGCCTGTGATATATCCAGGAATATGGCAACAGTCTGTTCATCTTTCAGGAAACCTGACTTGACATTATTTTGTTTTGATTATCTGATTTATTGTGCTACAGTTTGTTCAAAAGGCAGACTGGTTTATGCTATATAGATATATGTTATTCTTTACCAGGAAGAACTTTAGTTCAGAGTTCAGGGTCAGATTTACAAAAGTTGCAAGAATTTTACCAAGATGAGATATTAAGGATAGAGGTCTAAATGATTCAGCATTATTTATTTCTTTTCCTAATTACAGAATGGGTATCACTGTTGCTAATTTCCAAGACTTTGGTATATTTCCTGTTGTCCGTATCTTAGAGAATAGTGTAGCAATCAACTGGAATGTTTTTATTGAAATTCTCTTTAGAATCTTACAGCATAGAATAACCTGTCCTAAGGCACTGTCTCTCTCCCCCCCCCCCCCCTTCCCAAGGATTGATTCCTCCACTTCGGACACTCTAATCTCAGAATTTAAGTATAACTTTGATAAGTTTGTTTTTGCAACTGATATTTATTTGTTATGCTAGTTCTATTAATTTCACGAATACCTACCTATAGTGCTGTTGGCACTATTCTTGTAAAAAAAATTGCAAAAGAGTCTGCTTTTTCCTAAGCTGAGATGGCTCATTCTGGAAACTGTAGAGTATGAATATTTTCTCTTGTGTATTTTTCTTTGACAGACTTTGTTTGATATTTCTGTCGGGGAGTGTTTTTGAGGACTGATTGAATTTAGTTACATACGTTTCCAATGGTCCTCCTTTGCCTAATGGATCACTATTTTCGCCTCATTTCTTTTGGTCTTATATTTTTCTCAGTTACGTTCTTTTTTTGCAGTAAATTTAGTGGTTCATCAGGGTACTGGGTTCATATGCCACTTTTCTAGTTTATTTTTGCAGGAATTTGGGTTTATGGGTGGCGGCATATTTGAGTTTGGTATATGTATGACAGCTATCTGAAGTATTTTCTCCGTAATGTTTTTAGCAAAGATGTCCACATCATCATTTTCCACACAGCAGTCAGGTACTTTTTCCATATCTACCTGAAAAACTTGCCAGTTTGCCTTATTGAAGGAGAAGGATGTTTAATTTTGTTTTTTTTTCTATTTCGTTATTGATACGATGACCTCTACTGTATTCCTTTATGGTAATTTTGATGGGAAGGCTATCTGTATTAGTGCCTTCTAAAATGTCCCAACTGGCCACAGTAAGGTCTTCAGTTATAATAAAAGGATCTGTTGCTGAGTCCTGATGTCAACTACAGTGACTGAGGTGGGTTATTAAACCATCATTTAGCAGAACAAGACCATTATTCTCAAGGAAATGAAGTAATTTTTCAGAGTTGTCAATCTTGGTTACTCCCCATGGGAGTTCAGGTCCCCAGTAATGATAGTATTCTTGCCTAGTCTTTTCTGTACAGCTGATAGATCAGTATGGGTAACATTTCCTTTAGCACAGTATATGTTGATTGTACTTATTTTATAGATTTACCTCCTATTGTGGCATTAATTCACTCAAAAGTATTTTTTGCTAAAGTTTTCCAGGAAAAAAATGTACTCCTATTGGCAAAATAGGAAGGTTTGGCATAGTTTCACTGAAACCCTTAACTTCTCTGGCGATTAAAAAGCACAAGATGAAGACGGCGGAGGAGAAAACAGTACTCGTATTTTCCAGATAATCACACTGTTACTGTGTGCTTTACCTCAGTGAATACAGTTCTCAATCACACAAGTTAGAAATGTGACTTTTTGTATTCTTTTTACCATACAAAATACAGATTCATTACAAAATGAGGCTGATAATTCATGACAACAGCGACCAGGTTTCGGAATGGGCAGCAAAATATGTTAAGAGGAAAATACAAGCCTACCAGCCAAACGAAAATAAATATTTCACTCTTGGTCTGCCAACGGGTAAGTGCATGTGAATATGCAAATACAGCTTGGGATAAGGTGGGGAGGGGGGGGGGGGGGGGGGGAGAGGAGCACTATAACCTGTAATTCACAGATTTTGCAAAGAATAATTTGTGGGAGATGTTTTTGTATTCAAAATAATTGGTAAAAATTTAGAGTGATGAATAATTTATGATAGTTCGCATCACAAGCTATAGACAAAAGGAAAGAATAAATTGTAGTTCGTATCACAAGCTATGGACAAAAATAAAGAATAAATTGCAAGTAAACAAACAGAAAGCTTTAATGCTGACTCCAATTTGCATATTACTATAGTTAATAGTATCGCTCCAAAGCCCAAGAAAGCAATTAACTAGCTTGGCTGCAAAGTGGTTTAGTTGTTTACCTTGATTTACCAAATTGAATTTGTAGACTTGATTGTGTGATCCATAGTTAATGCTGGTGGGTGTCTCTGATGTTTCTGGAAGATGTCATTACATGTAAATAATTCCTGCTTTGTGTGAGGCACTAGTGAGTGACCAACTGGACTGCAGAAAGTGATCGAGCCCGGTGGAATAAAACCCAGAGCTATAAAGTTGATCCTCTCGCTTTTGAAGCACTATTTAGAGAACTAGTAATTTCACCATAGATCTAACAAGCAACTGGCCGTAAGAACTATAAATATTTTCTTGGCCTGTGCCAAAGCAATGAAATGGTAATCTGACATTAGAGGCTCATATGAAAACAACTAACTAATGGTCTGATCTTAGAAAACTTTGCCTAGTTTGCTTACAACCGGTGAACAAAGAAAAAAATAAGAATGATAAAAAAAGAGGGAAGTGCCCTCCCAAACTCCATTCCTCACCAAACAGAGAGAACACAGACATTGCCAGACCTGATAGCAGAAGCCAGACGTGAAGAGACCCCACCCTTACCCGTTACAGGCCGGCCCAGGCAAACTGTTAGACCTTTTTAGGACTAACAGACTCCCCTCCTTAAAACCAGGAAAAACAGCCCTATGCTAAGTCAGACCATGTCAGACATGTTACCAATCACCAAAACTCAGGCAAAATTAATAGCCACACAGATACAAAAAATCAAGCTCAGATAGCTAAGAAACCGTCCATGATAAAGCAGGTCTTTAGGCTACTAAAAGAGGAATAAGCTTAGAATTTTTGTTAGTTTTCTATGATACGATACGATGGCCTCCCAAATTGTGATATGATGAAAGGCTCATTACGTAAAGTGAATACCTGTGAGACGAGAAGCCTAAGAACTTATGCTTATCCACACAGGACTGGAGGTTTAACTTGGCTGATGTTGCCTTTACTGTGCCCTAATTATAACCTCTTTGGAGGTTGAACAAAGTGTTTGCCTGCCCTCCAGATTAAGATATTTTAAATCTCAGGATGGTATTGGGAACCTTCAGGTGATATGGTTAGAGGTCAACACAACTCTTCTCATTGATGATGATGGTGGTGATCATGATTTGATTATGAATATGGTGGTGGTGGTGGTTTCAGAGATGATGATTTTTACAATATGAACTTGCTCTAAGCAGCATTAATTGCCTTCAACTGTGAATATGTGTACAGGAGGTACGCCCTTGGGAATGTACCAGAAGCTGGCAGAGTATCACAAAGAAGGAAAGCTGTCTTTCAAGTATGTCAAGACCTTCAATATGGATGAGTATGTTGGTAAGTTGTGACAGCTTTTGACATTGTATTTAACAGTATTGTGTCAAATAAACTATATTTTTAATGAGCTTATCAGTACTAAAGGAGATTAAAAGTTGTGGAGAGGTATGATCGCCTATGGCAATTGGCAAGGCACTTGGCAATGATAATAATGACTTGACGGCGAAATAAAGCGGTTGCTCAACAGATAATCCAGTGATATAAACTTTACAAATTATTTATTACACAGGTTAAGTGCTTATTCTGGGCAATATTTGGTCTATTCTCCTCTTTTTATTTCTGCCCCCTGTCCCAAATGGAGCGTAGAGCCTCAACCAACTAGCACCAAGTCATCCTGTCTTTTGCTACCACTTATCCTATTTCCTCTAGTCTTCTTCACCTCATTCTCTGATTTTCTTTTCAATGTAGTTGTTTATTTTTCTTTTCATCTTTTATTTCCATGATTTTGTGGGGTACCACCCAGTCTCAAAGTTACAATACTATTGTTAGAAAAAAAGCTGCAATATTATTGTTACTGAAAGTTAGCTATGCCATTGTAAACGAAGTCTATTTTATTGAAAATAATATCGGTACTAATGTAAATAGAAGCTAAAATAACATTAGCTTATATATATATTATTTATATATTAGCTTATATATATAATATTAATTAATACTGTTAATGCAAGTTATGCTATTGTTAATTAATGTTGCAATATGGGAGATATACAATCATTACAAATATTAACATATTATTATAAATGGAAGTTATACTATTGTTAATGAAAAAATGTATGGTCTCGACAAACAGATCTGCCCAGAGAGCACCCTGAGAGTTACCATTCGTTCATGTGGAACAACTTTTTTAGCCACATAGACATCCTGCCAGAAAATGTCCATATTTTAGACGGAAACGCCCAAGATCTGGAAAAGGAGTGCAGAGATTATGAAGACAAAATCAAAGCAGCAGGTGGCATCCGGCTTTTCATAGGAGGTGAGTAATTATTCTATATTTGGAATGGCGTCAACATGTTTTGAAAGTGTGTATGTGTGCGAGCGTACACACGCAGACACATTTGTTGTTGTCCATCGTTGAGTGTGCATGTACAGGTACAGCTTCTTTGTTTTCTCAGAGACCATGATGTGTGACATTAGTAATATTAATAATCTTCTTCCATTCTATGATGCCAAACTGTCCAATCCTTTGCCACTCTCCCCCTCCAACTTTCCTTATTGTCATAACTTTTATCGATTTTCGTCTTAGTACGGTGTGTCCAAAGATCATTTTCTAAAAGTAAAAGTAAGTTAAAGACCCTATTTCACACCATCAGGCAAATTAGGCGAGGCCTATATTTTATAGACCAATCGGAACTTGATGGGTGATGTGGCCAGCCACCTTTACTTCCCAATACTGCACCTAGAATCTACTCAAGGCTGGGTCACATTAAGAGCCAATGTCATTTTTGAAAACAAGTCAGGCTCTGTCATGAGCTGAACCCAGGACCTTCAGATCTGCAGGCAAGTGTCTAGCTGCTACACCACATTGACTGGTAATTAGTTCTCTTCGTAACTTCATCACTTTAAGACACCTTTTTATCTGTTCATGGTATTCTTTTTCTTAAAAACTGCAATTTTGCAGATTCCACATTTTTTTTCACTGATTGATGACTGCTTATGGTTCACTTCCATACATCCGTCATTGTCAGTCCCAAGCATGGATGAGAAAGAAGGAGGGTTGTGCGTGGGGTTATTCTCCCCCCCCCCCCCCCACTGAAAAAAAAGAGCTATAGAAGTAAAGACTGATTTGTACTTATGCTTCATAGACTATACAAAAGACGGATCCGTTATACGCCAAAGAAGAAGCGCATGGGCATTTACAGCACGCTCAGCGGGCAGAACAGTCAAAGAAGCCAACGGCGCCTTCTCCATGACAACCAGCAGCATGACGATGGAGGTGATGGCAGTGACGCAAGCGTTTGCCTGGCTTGAAACACAAAAATACACCCGCATATGTATACTCAGTGATTCAATGAGTATGATCCGGAGGGTTCAGGCAGGTTCAGTGCGAAGACAATGGCTTGAATCAATTCAGAAGTCCACTGTGCGAGGAGTCACCTTTATTTTTGTTCCGGGACACGCAGGCGTCGATGGAAATGAAAGAGCTGACAGGCTGGCTGGATCCGCTATCACTACCGACGGTCGGCCTATGGATCATGCTGATATTATCAATGCCCTCAGAGAAATGGGAAGGATAGAGGACTTTGGTGGCAGTGAATCCACATCACTCGCCAGAATGGCAGACTTGGGAATTAAGATCGGCACAGCAAAAAACGAGACGCACACCGGACACGTCAGAAGATTTGTTAATCAACATAGAACTGGTACTATTAGCCATCGGACGTTGGGATTCATACTGAGGGGAGGATCTGAGCACCTATGGACATGTCCGGAGTGCAATGATGATAACCCAACTAACTAACTAACTAACTAACAAAAGCATTTGACTGTGTGAAGCATGAAGAAGTAATCAAACTGTTAGAAAAATTAAACATTGATGGAAAAGATCTACGAATAATAAAGAATATGTATTGGCAGCAAACAGCAGCTATAAGAATAAACAACTGTTTAGGTACATTTCAAAGCATAAAGAGGGCGTACGACAAAGATGTGTAATTTCACCTGATTTGTTTTCAATATACAGTGAATATATAATGAGATCTTTAATTGATATGCCCGGAATTGTGGTTGGTGGGCACAATATAAACAATTTATGTTATGCTGATGACATTGTGTTGATAGCAACAAGTCAGAAAGAATTACAGGAAAAGATAGACATTGTGGTGTTAGACAGTGGAAGAATGGGCCTCAGTTTGAATAATGGGAAGACAGAAGTAATGGTGGTATCAAAGAAACAAATTATTCCTAAATGTGTAATAAAAGTCAATGGTGTTATTTTAGGACAAGTACAGAAATTTAGTTATCTGAGCACATGGATAACATCAGATGGAAGATGCATAGCTGAAATAAGAAACAGCATTGGACAGGCAAAAACTGAATTTTATAAAATGAAAAACATCTTGTGCAATATATCCTTGTCATTGAGAGTTAGAAAGGGAATTCTTGCTCGCTACATACATCCAGTTTTAACATATGGATGTGAATCCTGGACAATCGGTAGGCAGGCCAAATAATTTTTAGAGGCCTCAGAGATGTGGTTTTACAGAAGAATGCTTAGAATACCTTGGACAGCCAAAAAGAGCAACCAAGAGGTTTTGAAAGAGGCGGGAGACCGAAGACAACTTATCACAGACATCAGAAGGAGACAGTCATCATTTTTCGGCCATGTTATGAGAAGAGGGAAAATAGAACATGTTGTGACCACTGGAAAGATCTGTGGAAAAGGGGATAGAGGAAGACAACGAGAGAAGATGCTTGACAGTCTTGTTGCATGGCATGGAGGTGTGTCAGCACACAAACTGATACATGCTGCAGGTGATCGCAGATTATGGAGAGGCATGATCGCCCACGCCAGTCGGCAAGGCACCTGATGATGATGATGTAACACATTATTTGCTTTTATTGAAAGGATGCCATTCTGGTAAAAAAAGAGTCAAGTGGTGTATGGTGCACAGAGTGCATGTATGATGAGTACCGATAAAAGCTGCTCTGCAGAAGTCAGTTGCCAGACCTAAGCTCACCGCTTGACTCAAAAATAATTATTAGAATAGGTTTTTTGGAATGTTAGGACTATGGTGCAGGCAACAAAATCTGCCCAAGTGGCATCAGAAATAAAGAGATACCGACTAGAAAGTTTAGGTTTAAATGAAGTTGGGTGGCCTGCACCTGATAACAGAATATGGGTGAATGTTGAATGAAGAATCAACATCACAGCACTTGGGACACTCCTATTTGTGCTCCATCCAACTTTCAGCAGCAAGCCAAGAGTTTCATTCCCGATGGCACAGTAACTGTCTGACTGCATATCTGTCTCATCCTTTCCCTGAATGTTGAGTGTCGGCCAGAATAGGGGTGTTCAGAGAGGAATGGGAAAGGAAGGAGTTGACACACTAAATAAAAAACAGAACGACTGGCTCAATTCTTTAAGCAGTGTTATCTACTAATTGGAGGCACCATCTTTGCTCATAAGCAGATTCACAAATTAACCTTGCACTCACAAGATGGAGTGAATAAGAAACAGATAGACCACCTATGTACATACATCAGATATAGAAGTTCTTTGATGGACAAAGGAGCAGTCGTAGCCTGTGACCACATCTTATGTGTAGGAAAATTAAAGCTTAAATTAAAAACAGCCGCCAAAAAACATGAGCAACAGAGAATAGATAATCAAAGGCTTTGCAGTGTACAAGTAAGAGAAGAGTTCCAGTTTGAGCTGAAAAACAGATCTGAAACACTTAAAGTAGGGGGTGATCTGAGAGAGAATTGAGGAAAACTAAAATGACGTAAAGACCACACTTTTAGAAGCAGCAAGGATTAGTGCAGGACTAAGAAGGCATGATGGAAAACGCATGATTAGTGAGGACACATGGCAGTGTATTTATAAAAGAAAAGCATTGAAGCTTGCTATCTTCTTTTTGTTAGTCATGTTTATCCAAAACCTTCTGTTTCGTGTACTTTCAGTCAACTCTGATACAGATGATCCTCCATACCATGATGTCAAACTGTTCAGCATCTTTTCTATTGGTCTCCCTCTGCCTCTCCTCCCCTCCCCTCCAGTTTCTCTACTGTCATGATGTACTCCAGTTTCCTCTTTCTCATGTCATGACCAAAGAATGCAGATAGTCTCTTTCTGATGTGGACAGTCAGTAAGAATGCAGGTTGTCTCTTTCTGATGTGGACAGTCAGTAAGAATGCAGATTGTCTCTTTCTGATGTGGACAGTCAGTAAGAATGCAGATTGTCTCTTTCTGATGTGGACAGTCAGTAAGAATGTAGATTGTCTCTTTCTGATGTGTGCAGTCAGTAAGAATGCAGGTTGTCTCTTTCTGATGTGGGCCGTCAGTAAGAATGCAGATTGTCTCTTTCTGATGTGGGCAGTCAGTAAGAATGCAGATTGTCTCTTTCTGATGTGGACAATCAGTTCTCTCTATGAGTCACATTCAAGACTTCTTTATTACTCTTTTTATCTGTCCAGGATATTCATATCACTCATCTATAACACTGCTTCTCAGCAGCTTCCAAATAAGTTTTCACTAATTTACCAACTGTCCATGATTCACTTTCATATATCAAAACAGGATTTATATAATTTTAAAGAAATCTCTTTCTTGTTTCAATTGACAAAGAAAGATTGTTGTACAGACATGAATGACTTTTCGGTACAAACAGTAGGTTGAAATTTTTTTTCTGTAAGAGCAGGGCATATACTGGGTGGGTTGTCCTAGCCATTGTGCCTATAGAGGCATCCTCTGCCTAGCACAGTTAAAGTGATGACCAGTACTGAACTTCTCAGCTGCTCACCATGTTTATCCATCACCTGCCGGCCATGACTTCACATAACCTTGAATGGGGGAATAACCAGGAAGCTTGCTACAGGCAATGCTAAAACAACGGAACAAGAAGCCAGGGCTGAAAAATGTTACAAAAAGAAGGACAAAAAAAAACACCAATAGTTGTGCAAGATGAGTTAAGAGAGTATATGTTTATAGATTAGCAAAAGATGGAGAAATTGCAGCAAAGAGTGGAAACAGTAAAAAAAAAACTAAAACGGCTAACTAGTACTTTTAAACTGCAGGGTGGTCTCATTAAAAGTAAGTATAGTACAGTGCTTACATTTGATACTTAGCAGAAGAAGAGATGGGCAGAACACTTCCAAGAAATCTTAAATATATCTAGTCCACAAAAACCAATGAAATTTGATGAAGAGGCTAAAACGACCACATGACCAATAAATGTAGGACAGATAAATTATATGGAAATGAGGGAGGCAATCAATTCACTAGCAAACAATAAGGCAGCCACAGATGATGTAACCATAAATCAAGTGAAAGATTTGTTTAATAGAATACTGGCAGAGGAAAAGATTCCAGATCAGTGAAAGAAAGGAATAATTGTTAAAATTCCAAAGAAAGGTAATTTTACTTACCGTAACAACTGGAGAGGCACTACTCTGTTATCGGTAATGCCAAGACTTTTTGTAAAATAATTGTCAGTATAATTAAATGGGTAGTGGACAAAATCCTGAGAGAAAAACAAACAGGTTTTCGACCTGGAGGAAGCTGCTTAGATCAAATATTCACCCTGAGACTTATTTTTGAGTAATTTATTGGAAAAAAAAAACTTTGTTTTGAATTTTATTGATTTTAAGGCTTTTAATAGTTTACATGGAACATCACTCTGAGAAATTTCGGAATGCCTTGGTATACCAATGGAAATAATAAAAAAAATTATTAATAACAATATACGAAGGTTCGGTGAACAGACAGTGGTTTAAGTAATTGGTTTGAGGTTGATACTGGAGTGTTGAGGTTTGATACTGGAGTGTTGAGGTTTGATACTGGAGTGTTGAGGTTTGATACTGGAATGTTGAGGTTGATACTGGAGTGTTGAGGTTGATACTGGAGTGTTGAGGTTTGATACTGGAGTGTTGAGGTTGATACTGGAGTGTTGAGGTTTGATACTGGAGTGTTGAGGTTGATACTGGAATGTTGAGGTTGATACTGGAGTGTTGAGGTTGATACTGGAGTGTTGAGGTTGATACTGGAGTGTTGAGGTTTGATACTGGAGTGTTGAGGTTGATACTGGAGTGTTGAGGTTGATACTGGAGTGTTGAGGTTTGATACTGGAGTGTTGAGGTTGATACTGGAATGTTGAGGTTGATACTGGAGTGTTGAGGTTGATACAGGAGTGTTGAGGTTTGATACTGGAGTGTTGAGGTTTGATACTGGAGTGTTGAGGTTTGATACTGGAGTGTTGAGGTTTGATACTGGAGTGTTGAGGTTTGATACTGGAGTGTTGAGGTTTGATACTGGAGTGTTGAGGTTTGATACTGGAGTGGAGGTTTGATACTGGAGTGTTGAGGTTGATACAGGAATGCATTTTATCTCCTGTTATTTAACATAACCACTGACTGGGTGATGAAAACATGTCTTGGAAACATTGGCACTGACTGGGTGATGAAAACATGTCTTGGAAACATTGGCACTGACTGGGTGATGAAAACATGTCTTGGAAACATTGGCACTGACTGGTTGGAGAGCACACAGTTGGAAGATCTTGATTTTGCTAATGTCATTGGTCTGCTAAGTAAAAACAGCAATGACATGCAAAAGAAAAACAAATCATTTAGCAAATATAGCATCAAAGGTTGGACTACAAGTAAGTTATATTGAAGACAGATTAAACAACAGATCAAGCAGATGTAACACTGGAGACAAAAGTAATTAAAGTAGCAGATCAATTTACTTATTTAGTTCGGAATTTTAATGGTAATGAAAATACAAAGAAGGGAATTATGACACACACTGGCAAGGCATCAGCAGCTTTTAATAGCTAAAACAAAATAAAGAACTCTAAATTGTAGTTTCAAAACCACGGTACGTATTTTCAATTCTAATGCTATTTCAATTTTAACATGTGCAAGAGAAAGTTAGTGAGCCACTAAATATATGGAATGAAAGTTAAATGCATTCAAAAACAAATATCTGAGTAAAATGGTGAAAATAAAATAGGATGAATTTAAAAAGATTGCAGAAATAAGAGAAATGTCTGAGCAACCACCAGTATCAACAGTTATAAGACATAAATGGCACTAGATGAGACACATCCTAAAAAGAAATCAGCAGAGAATCCCCAGACAGACATTAAAATGGGAAACAAATGGATAAAGGAGGCGAGGACACTCAAAAGAAACCATAAGATGAATGTTCATGAGAGACGCCAAAGCTGCTGGACTAGATTCTGTCCATAATATTGAACTGATCACACAGGATAGAACGAAATGGAGAAATAGATTGTGAGCCCTATGTGACATATAATGGTATGACAGCATAATGAACATCAAGATTACCTAAACCATAACGGCAATCAGAGTTAAAGTGTTTTCTACGGAACAACGCTTTATTAAATCTGTGGCTATAATTACTAATCTATAAAGATGTTGGGAAATTCTGATTTACCAGGATCTCACAACTGTTTCTCTCAGACTTGTGTATGGACAACAGACATTTAATTGTGGCAAACAGTTTATTAGGGGCATTTGATTGTGATAGGCATTTGATTATGGCAATAATATGTTGTAGGTTGTGCTAAACAATCTATCAGGATCTATACACAAGCTTACACTGTTCCATCAGGTACACACGCTTACATTGTTCCACTATGAATTCACAGTCAGTGTTCTACCATCAGATGCTCACTTTCAAACTCTTCACCTGTTTCTTCCATGTGCCACACTTACGTGTGTTTCTCCACCAGTTACAACCTGCTACTTTATATTCCCCGCCACAGGTATAGGCCCTGATGGCCACATTGCCTTCAACGAGCCGGGCTCCAGTCTGGTCTGTCGAACCCGAGTCAAGACCCTGGCACAAGAAACAATCCTGGCCAATGCTAGATTCTTTGGCAATGATTTAAAAAAAGTTCCCACCAAAGCCCTGACTGTGGGTGTAGGCACAGTCATGGACGCTGATGAGGTATGTACTTCTTCTTCTTCGCGTTCACCAGCTGTAAACTCTGGCGGAAAGTTCTGGTTGCTCATCCACTACTGAACTGCAGTCCTGCTCCAGAATCTGAGTGTTGCGTGTGCATCATTTTTACAGATCTCATTCTCTTGAATACAGATTTGTTTTGTTTTTTGCCTCTCCGGCAGATGCACTTTGACTTCAAAGGAAGCTCCACAATTAGTCGACTCTTACAACATGCTTTTGGGGAGGCAGTGGGTCTATTCTTGTTTTCCCAACAATAGGGCCCCGGAACCCACACAGGGGAAGTATGTACTGATAAACTAATATTAATTTTTTTGACCTATTGTTGAAGTTATAGAGAAATGAATGCGGTGATCATCATCATGTAGCAGGCCCTTTGCAGAACGTCGCTCTCATCACAGCCTGCCTGAAAGAAACTTGGTCTCTCGCCAGCTCTCCCGCCTCATGTACTTTCATACTCAAGTCACTTATATCCTGTGCCCATCTTCGAGTCGGTCGGCCCCTGCCTTTCCTTCCTGGTACCATGCCTCCGCTATTATTTTTTCCAGTCCGTCGTGGCACTTGATATGACCAAAATATTTCAGCTTCCGAGACAGGATGCTGTTTATTAGCCAATATTACTTAATGTTCAGATCTTTCAAGATTTCTTCTTCTTCTTTTTCCAAGATATTCTGAGAATTTTTCTACAAAATTTTAGCTCAAAAACCCCTATACTTTTTCTTAAGGACTGGGAGATAGTCAACGACTCACATCCGTATGTTGCTACAGGGAAGATGCATGCTCTCAAAATTCTAATTTTGATCTCCTTGCTGGTGCTTAACCATAGACTTTTAAGGCTGTTTAATCTTTGCATTGCTATGGCCGTCCTTCTTTTAATTTCTGTCAAACAGTCTCCATTGCTATTTATTATAGAGCCTAGATATATAAAGCTCGTGACATTTTCAATTTCTTCATCACTTATTGTTATTTTTGGGTGACAGTCAGTTTTATCTGTGGACATTGTTTTCATTTTCTTTAAATTTAAGAACAGATTTTGATCTTCGCTGTGCTTTTGGACAGACAATATTAAATTTTCTAATGCCTGTTTGAAAGGAGGACTGTGTCATCTGCGTAGCAAAACTCCGGAACAGGGTATGCAGTGAACTGTGACTGAAAAGCTTAACGAAATGGGGAAGTAGAACAATGTGCATAAAACACAACAAATTGACGTTTCGACATGAACTTAACTACACAATAATGAAGGGGAGAGTACTCCAACCACCAACTCCCACCATGGGGTCATGCGAAAAACTATAAAATGCAGCTTTTGTGGTGGTCCTTCATTCCGGTTTGTTTCTCCAGTCTCCAGTACTGACTTTCCTAACCACTCTTAGGATCCAGACAAATGATTTTGATATCTGGAAAGGGAAGATGTAGCTCTTTTGATCTTTTCCCCTTATGTAGGTTCCAGGGCTTCATTGTGAGGGAAAACATTAATAAACCCACTTCTTCCCCAACAAGCATGTTGTAGGAGCTGATTGATTGGGAGTTTTCTTCGAAGTCGGTGTACATCAGCCCAGGCAGCAAAGAATAACCAGCTGCACACAAATAAGCCAGTAAAACAGAAGTACACGCAAAACTCAGGACCTGAAACAAAGCCAAAACCCAAATGGATGAACAATTAGGACTTTCTACTGGAACTTACAGCCTGTGAACAAAGAAAAAGAAAATGATTTTTTTTTCTTCCTATTGTTTTTCACATTTGAAATGACTTCTTCTGGTGCTGTTTATGTTGCTACTGTGTTCACTTTAAAAAGCTCAGCTGGCACGTTGTGTTGTAGTTTACAGCCAGACTGCGACATCTGCACCTTTCGGCCCAGCACATCCGAGGAAGAATATCTCATTTTGTGAAGATGAAATATAAGTCATAGTTCACAAAGATGTCCCTAATATAAATGAAGTGTAGCTTCCCTTAAATAAATCTATAGCAAATGGTGTATTATCATTATACAGAACACCGCCCTTTCCCCGTCACGAAGTACTCCATATTTTGATTATGTCACTTTGAACCATTATTATTTCACCTTCTTTTGATTGTACACACCCAGTGATGTTACGTCTCTTCTTCCCTGTTAATATTCTTACCAGTTTGTGCATGGAATGGGAGTCTTTCCCATGATTTTTCCCCATCTCTGTGCACATCTGATTTAGCCAGGTTTCTTTAGCCTTTTTGCATTTGTTCACTATTTCTTAGTGTATATTAGAATGTTGTTCTTTATAATTCTTTTTCTGTCTTCTCTCATCCATCATCTTCAGAATTTCATTTGTTATCCATTTCCTATATCTTGCAGGAATAAGCTTTGTTAATGTATGCTGAATTGACTCGCGCAGCTTATCCCATTGTTCAACAACAGTTTGTATTTCCATGGCATTATTACTGTTTTGCACAGTTTTCTTTTCCGTTTTAAGTATTCCTAAATCTAACTTGATGTTCTGTGGGGTCTTCTTTAAAGTCTTCAGTTTTATACTAAACTTTCCTGTAACTGGAGCGTGATCATTATAGCAACTTCTTCTTCTTCACCGGCTGTAAACTCCAGCGGAAAGCTCTGGTCATTTGTCCACTTCTGGATTCTAACCCTGTTTCAGAACCTGAATGTTGCGTGTACATCTGTTTGACAGGTCTGACTCCTTTGCATGCAGACTGTTGGTTCCTTGTCTCTCAGGCAGATGTACTCCGACTTTAAAGGGAGTTACCCATTGGTCAACTCTTACAAAATGCTTTTGGGCAGGCAGTGGGTCTGTTCTTGTTTTCCTCCAAAATGAGGCCCCGAAACCCATACAGGGAATTATAGCAATTGATGAGGAACTATCAGAATTATGCAATGAATATAACAATAGCATAAGAACAGGCACATAAATGAAACCATCTTCCATAAGCAGCTATTGAATTATCAGTATGCAAAACTTCTATAAAACCTAGTGGCATGGAAAATTACTAATAAATTAGAACAAACAGGTAGACTACTAGCAACACTAGAAGGATATAGACCACATAGGAATACATGGAGTAATGTTGCTGTGTTGCGTACAATGTCTATGAAGGTTTCCATGTAGGAGTTGAAACGTGTGCTGTGACACTAGATTTGAAAGATGCATCAAACAAGGTTCCCTATGAAAAACTCAAACATCAACTCCTAAAGATCAACATTTCCCCCACACTCATTAAATGGAAAGCAGCAGCACTCTTCAAGAGACAGGTTGTTTTCAAATGTGCAAGATGGATTTTTGAGTTTAAAACCATACACCCAGGATTGCCGTAGGGATCACCTTTATCTCTAGTCCTCTTCAATAAATTCGCTATTGAGGTAACAAAATGTCAAATCACAGGCGAGGAAAGAACTCTCATACACTGATGACATACCAGTGTACCGCCAAAGCAAGAACAGGGGCAGAATTTTAGAACTCCAAAAGGAACCGGGACACATCATAGATTGGTGTCAAAACTCCGGGTCACAGATTAACCCTGCAAAAGCAACTGCAACTTGGTTCTCTTTGAACAATCACATAGTTCACACAGACAATAACACCCTGTGTGCACATGAATGGTGAACTGATAGCAAGGAATGAACTTTTAATGTAATGGAAATGAGTTTTGATCAAAACCTTAGCTGCAGATTCCATGTTGATACAATGATCAACAAGACCAGAAAGGGTTTAACTGCAATGCGAGTTATAGCTGCCAATTGTGGTCAACAAAGTCTGTTAGTCATCCTATATCTGGCAGTGATCCTCTCTGTCATATAATGCGCTTTCATGGCAAAAACTGCTTCCAGTAGCATAGCAATGGAGGTCATGGCTGTGACAAAGGCTCTAGAATGGCTCAAAACTCAGGAATTCACCAATGCATGTTTGCTCAGTGACTTATTGAGCATGTTACAGAAGATCAAGGCGGGGTACATACGAAAATAATGGCTATGTCTGATACAGCTTGCAGCATTTAGCTAAATCACCTTAATTTGTGTCCCAGAGTGTGCTTGTGTGAAAGGCAATGAGAGAGCAGATGCCCTGGCTGGCAGTGCGACTATCAAGAATGGGCCATCTATGGACAGGAGAGACATCCATCAGTGCCATACAAGAGACTAAATGTTGTGAGGTTTTCAGCTTCCTGGAAAATTATTTTCACTTAAAAGATTGCATACCATGGATGGATGTACCAGTTGGAGCAGCGCGACAGGAAAACCATACGGGAGCCACCCGTCGTTTCATCAACCAGATCAGAATGGAAGTTATTAGCCTAAAAACATTTGGAGTACAGCTACAAGAAATATTTTTAGACTCCACTCAAAATGCGACATCTATGATATCAAGATCAACGTGGACAAAATAAAAGTGATAATATTCTCCAGAAAGGAAAGAACCCCAAATATCAAAATTGATGAACACCAGTTAAAGCAGCCAAAGGATTTTACATATTTGGGAAGCATTTTTTTTTCAGATGGAACAATGAATAAAGAAATCCAACAAAGATGCAATAAAGCCAATCAAGTTTTTGGCCAAATGGCACCAACTTTGAAATGCAAGCATGTGAAAATGAACACTAATAAAAGTACACTGTTTAACACAATATTCTTACCAACGCTCTGCTATTAATTTCAAACATAGACACTGTCTTTAGAAGACAGAAGGAAAATAGTCATGACAGAAATGTTTACCTACTTTTCTAGAACAACTTAGGAAGGATGATTTTAGGAGGAGAATCTGCACAGAACCAATACTGAACTTTATAAGTAGACAACAAATCAAATGGTTTGGCCACTTAACATGATTGGCAGCAGACAGGGCACCACAAAGAGCAATGTTAATTAAATACAGTGGCAACAGAGCCAGAGGTTGACCACGCAGAATATGGACCGCATAAATATCAGAGACACTGAAAAGTACTAGTGAAGCAAACAGAAGGGCCCATTCCAGAGATCTCTTCCTGCCCTAACACCGCGAGGTATTCCAGGAGTAGAGGAAAGAATAAGAAGAATAAACTGCTTGAGCCACAGTTAGTGAACCAGAGCAGACTGAAACTGTAGCCGAAGCAATGCCAGTCTCAAACAAATGCTGTTTTAAAATGAGATGTGTTCTTTAACAGGTACATTTCTTCACAGCTTCGCTGTAATCTGACACAATGAAGTTTAACATCTTTATCAGGGCATATGAGAAAGAATGATAAACCTATGATTGCTGAAGAACCTGTACATTTGCCATGGAGTCAAATGTCAGTCAGCTTTGTCTGATCAGTATCCTTATCACATACATTTCCTGATGACGCAAGGAATTGTAAAAGACCACTAAATAGGATTTGCTAAAATAGGATATGTAACAGATATTGTAGCCTAGCTGTAAACAACAATACAACATGCCAACCGTCTTTTTAAATGCGAACGCAGAAATAAGAATAGGAAGAAAACTAATGCACTGACAGTCAGTGAACGTGACTGACATGAGTCCGTTCTGCGCGCATGACATCATTAACCTAATCCCCGACCCCATGTGGGATGAATGTTTCCTTATTTGTATGCCCTACCCTGGCTATTGCCAAGGGCTTTAATATAACCTGATGGTTGAATGGGATTTCTGGGACCTCTCTGTGGGTGATCCTCATCTGAATGGGGGCACTTTGTGTCACCTCGGGTGTTTAATGCTCAGTGTGACGTCCTAGTGGGGTAAAAAGTCAGTCAGTCACACATTACACTAGTGACTTTACACACATTTTCAACCATGTCTTCTATGTTGCAGGTATTAATCCTGATAACAGGCGCCCACAAAGCCTTTGCTCTGCACAAAGCTATTGAAGAAGGCGTCAACCATATGTGGACGGTCTCTGCCTTCCAGCAACACCCACACACGATATTCGTGTGTGATGAAGATGCCACCATGGAGCTGCGAGTCAGAACAGTGAAATACTTTAAGGGACTGATGCAAGTACACAACAAACTCGTTGAAGGCTAATGAGCTACAAACCGTAATTGTGACGCAATTTTTGATCACCAGAAACAGGTTTCCTTTTCCTTCACAGAGCTGATGGGACTCAGACCTTAGTGCCAAACCTTGAGGCCCCCACGTCCCCCAAATTGTTAAGTAGCTGAGCGCTCCACCCTATAACATTAAGCAATAGGTGGTGCCCCCTTTCTCTTAGAAACATTTATGAGAGGGCTGGGTGCCACACCCTCACTACTTAACCATGTACAGAAGCTCTCTATTGAAATATTTCTTTTTACATTTCATATTATTTTCAATATATAATATTGTGTGAATTTGCCTACATTAATAACACTTATTTTTACAGTAAAGAGTAAAACCTATTTAACATGAATTCCATGGGATCAAAAAATCTAGAGATCATGTTAAAAAAAGTTCGCGCTGACCAGGGACTAGTACTAACAACCCCTTGCTGGGACTAACATTTTTTTTTATTTTGGCCGAAAGTTCTTCTCAAGTGATTATGTGTAAATGAAATTTAACTGCATTAGGCTTTTTTTTTTTTTTAAAAAGCTGAGGCTCCTTGAACTGGCTCCATAAACAATTTTTATGGAATTAAGCCACCCCTCTACCCCCGTGTCAGTGGTGCGGAGTGAGGATGCTATGTTTTATTCCGTTGTGACTTTTTTCTATGACCATGTGATTTCCTTTATAATAAACAAAATCAAATAAAAGCGTAACCTAATGAAGGGACAGTTTGCTGATCATTGTGTGTATGGCGTGCTAGCCACTGTGCTCATCTTGTCACTGAAAAAAATGATACTAAAGCTTGTTACATTGTGGTGAATTGTTTATTGTGAGCAAAATAACAGGAAGAGCCTGGGGATGGTATAAGGTATATGTTTAGATAAATCTCCACTCGATGGTGATGTAGTTAACATGATGCTGATCGCTTTTACTTGATTGGACATTTCCTAGCACCCGATTATGCTGGAATAACCTGGGAAGCCAAATTACATTTTTTTTTAAATTAAGGCAATGCAGATTCAAACTTAAAACCAAAGCATCCACAGAAATTATCTTAGCCTGGTGATCTATGAAACCAGTCTTCTGAGACGAAGAAGAACCCATCCAGGATAACGACATGATTGGCAATAATATGAGAACTTCACAGCAGGAGCATGCACAGCAAGAGTCTCCCGATCAGCAGTAGGGGGTTCCCCTTTCAATAATTGTTTCACCTCGTTATCCTTGTAAACAGTCTCGGGGGGAGGGGGGCCTGGGTCATGACTCCCAGACTTCTTCTGCGCTTACTGGACAGTTGGGCAGGACGTTGTGGTGATCTGCAATAGTTACTGAGGTTATAGTGTTATAAATCGTCGCTGCGGTAGCAAATTAGGTCCCTCTTTTCACGACCAAACAGAATGGAGAAATAAACTATGAACCCTGTGCGATATTTACCAAGATAATGGTGGTGATAAAAACAAACAAGTGGATTTACTTACCTAGGGTCAAATTTTACTTTAGTTAACAAATTGGTTACAGAAATTAATATAACAGTGTGCAAAAGCAAATCAAGTGATGGGACAACTAAAACCACTACTAGTGAATATAAATATACATATGACTATCAAATAAAATCGCTTGAAAACTTATTCTTTGGAAGACACTATGTTACCAGTGTCAGTCATGGCTTAGACCAAGTGGGAAATCGAAACAGAAATTAAATGTTTTAGCCGTGAATTGTATATTTTGCTTAATGATTGTCTTATATGGGAAAAAATGCAATGAATTGTATATTTGCTCTATGAATGCCTTCAATGAAAAATAACAAAACACAATACAATAAAATTTATAAACTATTCTACGTCTTCTGCTTCACTTACCACCTCTTAGTATTGTGGGGAGAGCTACAGGGAGGGATACACACCAGAAGATGGGAACCAAAACAGGGGAAGAGAGAACAGACTAAGACAAAGATGCCACCATACAGGCAATCTACAGATAGGGGTATATACAACCAACTAGCCCCCCAGCCTTCTATTACTTGGGTGCCCTGGGTCTGAGGCTGACAGCGGTGGATATAGGGTGCCCATACTGTATACCTCTTCTATTAAACACAATGAATATTAGTCAGCAGTCTTCTATTAGAGCACCCCAAAACCCTTTATAAAGAGACCCACTAAAAAAGAGGAGGTCCCTCCTAAAATAAACTTCGCCTCTGCTTAAAATCTTTTTAGAAGACATAGATTTGAAAAAAATTGACAAAAGACAAGATTAAAGACAAAAGTCACAAATGTTGACATCAATTTGTACTGCAGGCTCAGGGTTGCAGGCGGCAGATGTGGTCGGGTGACTCAAGATCCCACCAGCTCCACCATGGACCCACCACCACCACCGTACTCCTGGTGGGTCTCCTCTTATGCTACTTACAACATATACTATTAGAAGAAAGCAACGACTGATATCAAAAATATAATTCTTTACCTGAGCAACAAATTAAATGGTTTGGCCACCTAACGAGATTGCCCTGTCCTGCTGCCATCTTACACACACAGCTATACTGAGGAACTATGAAAACTAAGAAAGGAAAAGACCATGCAACACTGGGTGTAATGATGGTATCAAGAACGATCATTAAAGAAATGAGGATCAACTTACATATTTACATCCTGCCTCCCACCTATAATTTCTGAGAAAGATGAATATCCTGCCATGATGTTACAATGTATAACATCGTCGTCGTGTCTTGGCCTCCTCTGTTTCACTTCCCCTCACAAATACCCGTGTCCATGTCGCTCTTCAGCTCCCTCCCTGCTGATAACGTGTGCAAAGATTGCGGATTGTCTGCTTCTGCAGCAGATAGCCAGTTCTTTCTGTGTGTTGTTTCAGCACATCTCTGTTACTCTTTATATCTGCCACTGTGTTCTTATCTTTCTTATTTACAACCAAATCGTGGCAATTTTTACATAATTTCTCACTAATTTGTTAAATTCACTTACGTACGTAAATACGAATTTTCTCTATCTACTTCTTACATTTTTCTAAACGTAGTTTAATAGATGTTGCAACAGTTACTACTGTAAATTTGGAGAGTACGAAAGAAAATTGCCAATAGGTTAAAAGTACCGAGAAGTCACTAGAGGATCGAGTTGTTAATATAAAAGACTCGTGTGCCCATCAGTCTTGTACATTCTAGTATCTGTAATAGGTGTGGCATGAATAAGATAAACTCGGACATGTAAAGGGAACCGATTCATAAAAGATCTTCGAGCTGCCATACCTCCCATAAACCCGTTCATAGATTTTGATTACCCGAAGGATTATGAAATCAACGTTTGTTCTTCCTCTATCTCGGCATGGTTCACAAACAGGACGGTGCGCTTTGGGTCTTCGACGGTTCCATACTGTTTGTCTTGAACTACCTTGACGAGGTGATCTCTGCATTACTTTAATTGTCTATGGGTGTATCCATCTGGTTGGAATCAAAACTGGTAGGGGAAGCCAGGTCTAACAATGTGTATCTTGTTTCCTGCTAATTTACGTTTGTCCGCACCACGGCCTTCTCTATACAGCTGGACCTGGTCCGCGCTTCCTTCTCCTGTATACGCACAGAGAGGCCCAATCATTTCACATTTGGCCTATAAATCACTGGCGCTGCAGCACACCATTACTTCAGGGACAAGTTGTGCACCTCATAAAAGCCATTGAACAAACTGGATCAGCGTTCGAGCACTTGCCTGAGAAATTCCTTCGACCCACTTGTCATCACGTCCTTTTTGTCTGCCGTGGCTTGTTATGTCCACATCTTGTGTTTTTATTTACTTTGTCGATCACGGCTTTGTTGTCCTCGACCAATACTTCTATACTTGAAACATCGGGCACACACACGTGGTGTGTTTAATTTACACATGTATTTGGATTTGTTTAAGCCGTTATAAACTCCTATTGATTTCCTCAATATCTTGTCAGACAGTTGTATATTTCATTGACGTGGCCATGTCCACCAATAAAGTATATACTCGTGCGTGTGTGTGTGCTCCTCTGCATGGTTCCTGTATACCTGTTCATTTCACTGAATCTCTTAGAATAGCCTGCAAAATATTTCACCCAGTAAACAGCAATAAGATTATTGTGTCACTGGACACTCCTGTCCATCCGCCTCCTGGATTGTGAAGACAACACTATCACAACAGCGGTGGATTAACAAGTGAGGTAATAAATGCTGTTGCTAGAAAATCTGTAAATGGCAAAAACTAGAAAAAAAAGAGAGAAATCCAAGATACTTAAAGACAGGTGTATACTATAGGGAGGATATGAAAGAACATGACAACAGACAAAGGCATAAAAAGAGGTAGAAGAAGGTTTGGGGGAGAGGAAAAGAAGATTGCATGCGTAATTAACATATTGAGATCAGAAGAGATAGTGTTATGGCCTTCACATTATGCCAAGGTTGAGATGAGTTGAGACAGCTAGTTTCCTTCATCGCCAACTCTTCATCTTAGACAATATCACAGAACATTCACATACACTGTTTCCAGAAAATCGTAATAAACATTGAGATCTCCCTATAACATCCGTCCTCTTTGTGTAGCTGTCTGGAACAGGAAGTAGTAACAAGTAATTTTTTTTTTTAAGTATACTGTGATGTTTGGGAGTAAATGAAATATATTTGCTGTATTCGACAATGACAAATGTAGTTAACATTTCAGAGCCTAGAACTAAAACGTAAAGGCAATAAGAAAAAGACAAACTTGATTTACATGATACTTTAATCATTTACAATGCTGATGTTTCAAAGTATTAGGTTAACGAAAACACTTCAACAACCACTGTTTAAACACATGTACATTTCTCTGTAGCCAGCTGGCAGAAGAATTGGTAACCCGTTTCTAGACAGACATGTTTCTATCTTAGTAATCACATTGTACTTGTACTAGCTAACACAGTGGCATCATTGATTCTTTCACAGTTCTTGTCTTAATGTGTTTTATTTTACTGCCGCCCTACAAGGATCCTTGAGTATTATT